AAGGTACAGGCAGCAGGGAAATAGTGAACATTGAAATTAAGACAGTAGATTTGAGTTTGTTTAAAGAATATAATATATTCCACAGTTACCTTAGTAACTGAAGTCCCAATATTTGGTAGGAATATGACCTCAACCAATTTAAATCTTTTTTTCTTTCTTTTAATTGTTCTTTTTACACACACCCTCCTCTCCACCCCCATTCTTAAGAAATTCAGTATCATGCCCTTTCTGGCCCATATCATCACCTTAAGCTCCTCCATCAAGGGCAATTGTTAAATGCTACTCTCAGGAATCTCTCAGATTCCTTGAGTTTTTTTTTTTTTTAAGACAGAGTCTCACTTTGTCACCTTTGGTAGAGTGCTGTGGCATCATAGCTCACAGCAACCTTTTACTCCTGGGCTCAAACAATTCTCTTGCTTTAGCCTCCTTTCTACCCGGCTGTTTTTATAGACAGGGTCTCTCTCTAGCTCAGGCTGGTCTCAGTGAGCTCAGGCGATCCGACTGCCTTGGCCTCCCAGAGTGCTGGGATTATAGACATGAGCCACCGCACCCAGCCTCAGACAGATTCCTTGATCTTTTTTCATTTTCTCCCTCAAGTCTGCCTTGTCTTTCCCTGATTTCACAGACCAATGATCAACTAGTTGAATAGCTTTCCTCCTATTTCCCCATTTTTTTAAAATTTTTCATTTCTCTTATTCTGCTATTCCTTCCCTAACTCTGTAAATCCCAGTACTGGATGGTTGCTAATCTTGGTCTGAGAGGCACAGCAGGAGAAAATCACACAATTATGTAAATTGTTGCTACTGCAAAAAGTGTTTCCAATCTCAGAGTAAGTCCTTAGTGTCTCTCAATTTTTTTTTCTTTTTTTTTTTGGAGACAGAGTTTCACTATGTCACTCTCAGTAGAGTGCAGTGGCATCACAGCTCATAGCAACCTCAAACTCTTGGGCATAAGGTAGCTGGGACTGTAGGTACCCGCCACACACTCATCCATTTTTTTGTTGTAGTTATCGTTGTTTAGCAGGCCCGGGCCAGGTTTGAACCTACCTGCCTTGGTGTATGTGGTTGGTGCCCTAACCACTGAGCTATGAGCGCCAAGTCTGCCTCTCAATTTTTAACCCCTAAGTCTCAGTTTTATTCTTGGTAATATGAAAATAATAGGATTATTTTAAGAATCAAGGAGGGTAATATGTATAAAAGTATTTATTAAAGTACCTAGGACATAGAAAATATGAACATAAGTTGCTATTATTTTGTTATCTGTTTTAAACTTGCATCCCTTTCTACCAATTACCTTCTCCACCTCACAAAACACTTGGCAGATAACTTCACCCTCACAGAGAAAATATCAGGAAGAAGTTGCCTTAAATTCTACCCCTTTCCTTAACCTTAGTTCTACCATACTGCATTTTCTATCATAGTGTATTTGTATGTGATAGCCTTTATTAGTAAGTGCGAGTCTTGACATCAGTCAGATGTTTGTAACTTGGATACTGCCTGTACTTTGTACATAATATTATACTTCTTGTGTTTTGCTCACCACATCTTAACCTGTGGTCTTGGGGCCATTTGTAACCTTCTGGATACTTGAGTGGGGCCTTTTGAATGAAGCCAAATTTCACAAAAGAAATCCTTTTAATAAAGTCCTTTATTAAGGACTCTTCTGTAAAATTTGAATTTGATCAAGGGCTGCACGTGAGGATCTGAAGGACCACATGTGGCCTTGAGGCCACAAGTTTCCTACTCCTAAAGCTATTCATTTGTATCCCCTAGCACTTGCAGAGTACCTGGCATATGGCAGCTATTTTTTTTTTTTTTTGAGACAGAACCTCAAGCTGTCTGCCTGGGTAGAATGCCATGACATCACAGCTCACAGCAACCTCCAACCCCTGGGCTCAAGCGAGTCTCCTGCCTCAGCCTCCCAAGTAGCTGGGACTACAGGCACCCACCACGCCTGGCTATTTTTTGGTTGCAGCCATCACTGTTGTTTGGCGGGCCTGGGCTGGATTCAAACTCACCACCTTAGGTGTATGTGACTGGCACCTTAGCCACTTGAGCCACAGGCGCCGACCCAGCTATTTTGAATGAACAGTTTTTTGTGCCTGAAAACCTCTCAGTAAGAAGGGGCTTTTCTCTTGTTTTGTACAATTACACTTCTTATTTAATCCTGTCTGTCCCTTCATATCTACTCTGGGACTTTTTCCATCAGGAGAAAGAGAAGTTGTTCCTTTTCTTTCTCATGTTTCTAATCTTTTCATTACATCCCAAAAGTATGTTCAGGCCTTCCATGTCAAAGGAACATCTACTGGCTCAATGCCCATAGCACAGTGGTTATGGAACCAGGCCTCCTAAACAACAACAACTGCAAAAAAAAGTAGCTGGCCATCATGGCGGGTGCCTATAGTCCTAGTTACTTGGGAGACTGAGGCAAGAGAATCACTTAAGCCCAAGAGTTTGAGGTTGCTGTGAGCTGTGACACCATAGGACTCTACTGAGGGCGACATAGTGAGACTGTCTCAAAAAAAAAAAAAATCTACCTTTCATGTAGTCTAGAAAAAATAATCATGCTCCTTGGCACTACTTTGCTTTTTTTTTTGTCACTCTCTATAGAGTCATGTGGAGTCATAGCTCACAGCAACCTCAGACTCCTACGCTTAAGCAATTTTCTTGCCTCAGCCTCCCAAGTAGCTGGGACTACAGGCATCTGCTACAACACCCAGCTATTTTTTGGTTATAGTGACCATTATTGTTTGGCAGTTCCGGCTAGATTTGAACCTGCCAGCTCCGATATATGAGGCCAGCATCCTAGCCACTGAGCTATAAGCACTGAGCCTTCACTTTGATTTTCATTCAGTTAGACTTTTTCTGTCCCATCACTTCACTGAAACTTCAGTAAAGGTTACTGGTGACGTAATGGCCCCATCTATATCATTTCAAGTTATTGACTCCTCCTTTCTTCCTGAAAATTTGTCTCTGACTGTTTTGTTTTTGAGACAGAGCCTCAAGCTGTCCCCCTGGGTAGAGTGCCATGGCTTCACAGCTCACAGCAACCTCCAACTCCTGGGCTCAAGCGAGTCTCCTGCCT